AGGGCCCTACTCATTCAGCAGCTGTCGCGCGTTTTCTGGTCTCTGCGTTTCTGTTCTTTGTGGAGGGTGGGGGGCGAGTGTGTTATTTAGAACAATGATTCCTTCCCCCGTCACCTTGCCAAACACAGAAGGGGGGGTTGAAGAGAGACAGCCTTGAAGTTGGGGGGGCATAGTGTGGCCCCTCACAAAGGAGGGGATGGAAGGCCTGCGGAGGCATGAGAGGAAAGGGGAGGGATGTCGCCTCTGCCCAGAGGTGCTGAAAGCCAGGGTTCTTACACCCAAGGAGGCGAGCCCTCCCTTCCCCCAGGATAATTGGAAACAGCCCTTCCGGCCGACGAGTGAGGATTGGGACTTTGCTCCCCGCAGCCATCCGAGAAGGGCCTGCGTTTACCCCCAGTCTGGTCTTCACTCGACCCGCAGAGATCAGAGCAGGGCTGTGACAAAAGAGGCCCCGGGGAGGGGAGGGGGCGTCCAGCCCACTGGGCTTGACTGCAGGTCCGATCCCGCAGACTTCCTGCGTGACCTTGGGCAAGTCCCTGGGCCCCCCTGACCCCTAGTCTGCACCACTGTCCTGGGCATCTGGCCTCTGCCTCTGACTTCACACAGGTAGTCGGACCCAGCAACTCAGCGGCACTTTGCAAAGTGCCCAGCTTCCAAGGGGTGTCCACCTTCTCCCCAGACCTCCCGGGAGCAGCCCTGTTGTGTGTGGGGGATGCAGGAGCAGGAGGAGGTAGCTGCAGGATGGAAAGGGGCTTGGTTCCGCCAGGCGGGCCGGGCGGGCGAGCGCCCTTCGGGATCGGCGAGCAAGATCGCAGCCGCCCGCGCGATCCCAGGGCCGCCGGGCGACGGGTGGACGCGGGGGCCGAGGGGGCGACTCCGGCAGACAAAGGGGCGTGAGAGGCGGCGCGCGGCAGGGCTGCGGGCAGGCGCGGCGGGCGGGAGGTGCGGAGGTGAGGGAGGTGTGGGGGGCGTGGGCTGGGGACGCAGCCGCCCGCTCCCGCTCGGGCTCCAGCTCCGGCTTTTCCCTCCACCAGCCTCCCCCCTCCCCGCCTCTCCTTTAACTCCCCCTCCCCGGCTTGGGGACTGGTTTCCTCCCGGAGCCCGCTGCCCTCAATCCCGGCGAGGCTGGGGCTCCGGCGCGGCGCCCCTTTCCTCCTCCCCGGGTCCCGCGCCCCATGCCGACCCCGCCCGGCCCCCGGCTTCGCCGTTCCCCCACCTAGGCCCCCTCCCAAATCCCGGGGTGCTGGAGCGTGGGCCCGAGGTGCAGGGCGCCTGCCGGCGGCCCCTGCAAGGGCTCTTCAGGGGGCTGAGCGCCTCTCCATAAGCGGGGCGCAGGCAGAGCAGGAAGGGATCCGCGTGGGAGCAGGGGGTGGGAGGCGTCAGCCACTGGGGTGGTTGGGGGGGAATAACCAGGGAGGCCAAGGCAGTCAGTCACCCCCCGGGGGTGAGAGACTTTGGGGGAGTTGGTGCCCCGCCCCCTAGGCCTTGGTGGGGTCATGGGGTTCCCCCATTCTGGGCCGGGGGACGTGCGAGTCGGGGCCCTGCTGCTGCTGGGCTTCTTGGAGCTGGTGTCTGGGCTCAGCCTGGAGCCCGTCTACTGGAACTCGGCGAATAAGAGGTGAGTAGCTTTGGGGAGACCCCACACCCCAGGAAGGCTTTAGGGGCTTAGGGAGGCTGGAGGAAGAGCGCTGGCTCCCCGATGGTGGGAGTTAAGGACTGCCAGACTGTGGTGGTTTGGGGACTGGGTCCTCCAGCTCCTGGGTCCCACACACGTGGGTGGTGATATTGAGATGTCAGGCGTTTGAGAGACACCCTATCCAGGACAAGGGGACGCTGGAGCCAGTGCTGAACTTTCTGCCCCAAAGGGACTGCACCAATGGCGTGAGGTCCTCA